ACACTATATACCGCACAAGAAAAGTATGATCATTGTTTATACCACTTATTAATTTTACGTATGTTTAATGTTTTGCTTATTAATTCTATGTATATACACTGCTATTATATTTTATTTTGCAGGTTGAAGTTTAAAAAAATGAGCATATTTAAATTCTTCTCCGATAATCAATTTCTTCTCTCGGACATAATCTGTCCAGCTTTTGAAAATATTCTTTCTGCTGGGACAGATGTTGCAGGAATTGACAGGTACTTGCAGCTGATTTTTCGTAATTCTGGCATAGTGTGTCCATGCTTATGCCATTAAGTAATTGGGTCACTGTTGATATTTTCGTATGGCAGTTTCAGATAATTTTCTATTTGACTGGAAGCACTTTCTGCAGGCTCAGAAGAACTTCTGGTGAAATGAGATACTTTGTCCAGGATATGCTTCCAAAAATTGATTCGTTGGTCATCTATTTGTGCTTCTTGCAGTTCTTGTACTTCTTGCCTGGTATTTGGTGTAGGTGTAGCCAATATACTTTGAATTTCCTCTTTTAAATTCTGGACTGCTATTTCTTTATCTGCTTGATTCTGGAAAATCGCTGTCTTAAACCGAGGATCTAAAATCGTTGCATTTCTTGTAATGGTGTTCCTCTCTATGTTGCTAAATCTATTGTCAATATTGTTTGTCATGTTAATTCGTAGACCCTGTCCAGAACGCGTTTTTGGATTAATATGTTGTATGATATTTTGGATATTTCCTATGAGTGGCATTATTTTAGAGGCTGTTGTATAATTTTCTCCACTCAATTCGGTAGAGACAATTTCAAATGGTTCGAGCAGGGGTATTATATCGTTTATTATTTCCCATTGTTGTTCATTTATATTTGTAGGGGCTCTAGGTAATGATGCTAGAGCAGCAGATAGAGGAACTTTCATGATTACTAATCGCTTGAGCATTATGAGGGAGGAATTCCATCTGGTTTGCACATCCTGTTTCAATTTTAATACTTGTGATCCGAATTGTGTCTGTATGTCTCGTAATTTATCAGCTGCGGTAACGCTTGTTTTGAAGTAGGTCACTAATGCACGGCATTTTTTCAAGGTACTGACTATCTCTGGAATGGCGTCTATGGAATCGTGTACTATTAAATTCAGTGTATGTGCTGTGCATGGGAAATGTAAGTATCCCAAATTTCGTACTGCATTTTTCATATTTGCAGCATTGTCGGTTATCATTGCAACGGTTTTATGTGATATATTGAACTCAGTTAAAATATTTTCTAGTACACGCGTTATATATTCGCTTGTATGGTTTTCACTTAAGGCAGTAGTGGCCAGCACGTTCGAACACAATTTATTTTGAAGTATATAATGGCTTGTTACAGTTATGAAAGCTTGTGTGTTCAAATTTGACCAAATATCAGTGGTAACGGAAACGTAATCTGTTTGTTGCAGGTCTCTGATAACTGTATTTTTGACATCCGCATATACTTGCGGCAGAATGGTGCGACTCAGAGTTCTCCGGTTTGGAATCTGATAACGCGGTTCTAATTCATGGACAAATTCAACGAATCCTTTGTCTTCGACTATGCTCAAGGTTTGTAAATCTGTACATATCATAGCTACCAGCAAATTATTTAATTTTGCAATTTTTGATTGTGGTAGTTCATTTGCTATGGTTCTTAAAGTTAACTGCCTTACGTTTACCTGCGTTGTTCTTCCTATTTCTGCTGAACCACTATTTTCTCTTGTATTTCCAGTAGAAATGGATGCAATGGATCTTATTTGTTGCGTTGATGTTCCAGGTTCCACCGGTTGCACGGCTCCATCGATGTCTGCCGATCCAGTTTCATCGTGGACGCGTCGATTGGCTTCCAGTGTCGTAAAATGCTTGCGTTTTAAATGTTCGTGTAAATTCGTCGTATTCCTTGCACTTTTGTACTCTCTTTTACACAAGAGACACATTGCTGTAGTTGGTGTCTTTTTCTCAAAGTACTCCCACACTATTGACCGTTTTTGACGGTACATTATATTGTAAAAACTAGCACTAAACTTACACTAGCTATACACACTTACAATTGTATTAAATGTATGTATAATGAACAAAAAAATAAATGTATGTTTAAATGAACACTAGTTTACGATACGTTTATTATAACTATCTTATATTATCACAGTAGCTTAAACACTTTTAATCTATACTTAACAATTCAGAACAATAGCTTGTTAAAATTGTTTTAATATTACGTATTAAAACTTCTGTGTAAGGGATTACAGTTCTATTCAGCGATGCTGAAACTTGGAAATCTGCTCGCTGACTAAATCTCTGGTTCGTTCCGATCTCGCGTCGAAGCATTTGTTTATATTAACGCGCGGTGGGCCGCGCTATCGAGATCCTTTAAGTGGATACTTTAGATATTTCTTTCGCTCAACGTAAGGAAACTCGCAAAGGGAAATACGTTTCATAATTGTATTTCCCACCATCTATATAAGTTTCTCTTTATTTCTTCAACTTTTATTATTAAAATATTGATTTTTCAAATTTCTTATTGTTCATAATTTGTAGCTATTTTAAAATTGTCAATGTTATGCAGCTACAGAACAGAATAAATACAAGTATAAAAATTGTTTTTGTAGGGTGTAATTAATGTATTGACACAATATAGTATAAATTATTATTTATTTACGTTTTAAAATTTTAATGTTCATATAAATATGTACATTACAGTTCCTAAAAGAAATACATACTAAAATAGTATTAGGATAGTATGATGGATATAATCACAAAACACTATTTTACCTATAAATTGTAATTAACAATATATTAACAAATAAAGTACGTAAAGTATTAATTTATATACATTACGTTTCAATAATTAATAAAACAATGTATGAAAGATACAGCGAACATCTGCATTAATTTAGAATATTGAAATTGGAAAGTTTAACACTGATAACAAAAGGGAACCCCTGGGCTCTGGTAAAGTGATGCTACGGCTGTCATCAATTACTTCAAGTGGGTGCAAAGAAAACATTGGCGATCTGAAAGAAGGATTTTCAGACGGACGGAAAGATCATTTTGCCAGCTAGAAAACAGGAACAAATATATTTCAAAATTATATAATTACAATTATTTGTGCTCATTTATTTGCAGCTTATTTATACTTGCTTCTGAGAATTTAATATTAGACGATGTTATATTAACAGTGAAAAGTCCTTCTTTAAAATAAAACATATATAAAAGAAATAAATATATAAAACTCTGTAAAAGCAAGAGTAATTTATTTTCTTATTTTCCTCAGAAGTACTAGTATATTTGTTTCCCATAATCTTTAGATTTCTAACTGTTTGAGAAAGAGCCAATATATACCGCCGGTATAGGGTATATATAGATCATTGTCACTTTCCCACTGACAAATTTTTACTAAACAAAAATTGTCACTTTTACACTTTCCAAATTTACTGTCACTTTTCATTTTACAAATCCACTGTCACATTGTACTTTGCAATTGAAAATTTGCATACACGTTTTTATTTCAATTGTTAGTTCCGATTGGAATACCGTTCGCGCAACAATTCCACTGCCGCTATCGGATTATAAGACACTTATGCGTAAATAACGAACATGTTAAAATATTCCGTGTTCGTTTAGGCTCGCACCGTTCTGATTAGTGACGCAAGGCGAAGCCAACTGATCGCTCGCTCGAAGATACACTGGTGTGTATTACATCAGGCAGCACGAAACATAGAAAGAAATGTTTTGCTGCGCTGAAATTTTAGGAAACAGTGTTTATAGTCGCCAACGTCTTTTTAATAGTAATCAAAGAGAGTCAGATTTTTTCTTTTTACAATTTTATAGTAAGGTCTCGAACAGCGCGTGTCCAGCCAGATGTGTACGATAAAAGCCAAATTCAGTCGTTCGCATGTGGTAAGTGTTTTTCTGGAAACTGTCCCTTGTCATCGGTTCGATCTCTCTTACCTGATACGAGAAAAACGCCACGTGGCCCGCACAAACTCCGCAACCTCACCTCGAACACTTCCGCAGGGGAAGATGCTGAGTGAACTCGAACGCACAATCCACAGCGTTGCACCACGTTCTCGTGGTCAAGCTGGAAGGGAGAGACCTGGGTGGTCCTGGACCTGCAATACACGCCGTCTCGAGGAGTCCAACGTGTGATTGCAAAACAGCAACAATTGCTGTCGAAAGTACCAGGCCTCTCTAGCCAAGTTACGCCGACAAGCGCACGTAGACCCGCTAAACAAAAACGCAATTCGTGCACACACGCACGCACGGTCACGATCGTGAGTTCGTAAGATCGCGCAAGTCTAATGCTAAAATCCTGCTCTCGATGAGCAGTTACGCAACGCATACGCCACCGCAATTCAATCAAAAACTCGCAGCAAATCGGTACCTATCCGGGACTGCCAAGCGTTCGATTACTAAGACAAAAGGCGAACCGATTGTCCCGAGCTAGCCGATTCACTCCGGCGTCACCTCCCCCAATCGGGCCAATGCGTACGCATTGCACAAAGGAGCGATGACATGACAACTTGCACAAGTGAGCAAAATTCAAACTGTCCATAACCGGCTCTGACTCGAACAGCTGCTGCGAGCCATGTGTCCTATCTTCGAGTACCGAAGGTCGACCCATTGACCCATTGACGTTCTTCTACGAGCAGGTGCACTGACCAACGAAGAAGTAAGTTCAACTCTGATTCTTTTCACATTTTTCATAATTTTACCTATCCTGTAATTTGTAAGGTTGTTTGTTATTTCATTGAGCATGTTACATTTGTTCAGTGAACGTAAGTAACGACTAATCTCTTTCTTTCTTCTGATATTCAACCAATTTGTTAGTTCGTTTTTGCATGCAACATTTCTTTAATCCTATGCTCTCGTCACGAGCGCAACATACGGGCGCGGCAACGCACGAGGCGGTTGCCGCGCTCCTGCCCGCCTTGTATACTCACGCGATGATTGGGCGATGATTTTTGTTAATAAGTCAATAACCACGCCTCGGACAACTTTTTTGCAAAGGAAAAAGTTGTTTAAAATCACCTCAGTTCCTCCTCATTTTCGGGCTTAGTAGTAGTTCTGGGACAGCCTGTATATTTCAATCGTTTCAATTTTGGACCATCGAAATATCGAGCAATACATACATATCGAATTATCGGTTATTATCGAGCAATATACTATATTATATGTCCTATGTGCAGTAGATAGGGCTGCTGTGTCTGAAAGTTTCGAAAATAGTTTCGCCGTATTAAACAAAGAGGGATGAGTAATCGGGATTCTGGGAAATAAAAAACACAGCGATTTCGCGGTCAATGTCGAGACTATTCCTTGCTCCGGCATAAAAACCCTCACGGAGGAAGAGGGAAAAGCCCGAGCAAGGGAGATGACTCTAAGAGAGTTTATTTGATATTGCAATTCACAGGGTCCTTAGGATTATTAAATACAATCGTTGCGGTTACGGATATACGAATTAAATCGCACGCGGCCGAATGATCATTCGAGTCGAAGAGCTCTTACCTTAACGAAGGTATGGCGCGCAGCCGAGTCTGAGGATGCAGTCCTCGC